AGTAATTCAGCAATATATATTTTTCCTTACTTGCAACTTGTTCGTGTTTCTTATTCAGCTGTGCAACTTTCCCTGCTTCTGACTTCTGAGGCCCAGTAATCATTTCATCAATTTCCTTGAGCAGTTTGTCTGCGTCATCATCCACATCAGGGATGGAAGCCCTGTCAACTGGCCTCGATGTTGGCAGTCGTCTGTCTATGACCAATACTTCAGTACTATCAATATTAATAGGCTTGACCTCTATTAGTTTTGTTGTTGCAACTTTTTTCACTGACGTCCCGTCGTCATCACAGCTACCAAAAAAGGCCGACCATGTGGAAGCGCACAATCCCATGTCAATGTCTTTACATTTCTTATTCCTCTCACCTCCATGTGGGATGTTAAACAACAGCCGTGGGGACGCGCTGCTCCATTTCTTGATGCTCATTTTCTTGATTCTCTCAGACTCGATTTTCTCGATTTTTTGATAGTATTTCTCAAATAAAACTTCTGCAGCGATCTTGGTTACAGTAGGCTGTTTATCTTTGCTTGTTTTAAAGCAGGTAAGTAAATTCCCCATTTCAAAAGTTAAAGTTTTGTTCTCATTATAGATCTAAGTCTCGATTCATAAAAACTTTCTTCTACTAAATTGAAACGTCACAATACTATGCTGTGGCGTCATTAATTTCGCGCGCTCTAATGTACGTCATCAACTATATTACGAGCATGCACAAAGGCAAGAATACTACGGACCAAGATATTGAAAAATACTGTTCACCGCATAGAATGCCGATTAACTATTGCTTGAGAGAAGAAAAGAAGGAACTGTGCATACTTAATATCGTATTGCCGCGCGCGCTTTGTGGATTACCTGTGGCATTACATTACGATCCCGTAATTATCGAGAGATAATTGTAGTTTACAACCCGCAAGTCACGGGTTAGTGATATATTACTTATTATTATTGAAAGCTGGTAAAACAATAGACTTCTGAACCTTTTACGTCACTACTCGATTTTCAATGCATTGTGGGATCAGTTATGAAATCCGCCATGTTTTGTCCCAAACATGTCCTACAATGCATTGCGTATACGGTATATGACGTAAAAGCTGAAGAGGTCTATTGGACTATGATCACCCGTCTTCTGAGTGTGCGCAGTGCGTTTATCCCCAGCTTCGCTTTTATGGTGACATTTTCATGGGCTTATTTTATGCATGCAAAACTTCACATGTAGCGACTTGCAAAAGTTATTAATTCTTTCAATAATAATTTAATATCATTTACATCTGAGTTATTGGCTCAAGATTACACTTTATAGCTAGAAGTTTAACTTAGCCTAAGATATCATATATTTTCCCGTCTGAAAATTTAGAATAAACAATAAAATGCTAGTTAAGGACATTCTCAATATATATTAGTCAAACCTAGCGGACCAGACCTAAATCAATCTCTCTCATCAATGCTATAAGCCAAAAGAATCAAATACTAATTTGACCCAGTGGGTCTAATGGGAAGTAATGGACTGACACTCCCGACAAATAGTCTTTTAAAATTACTTTGAAATGGACCTGTCTGGCCGGTTAGTTCGGATGGGAAATGTAAAGTACTGCCTTCTGAAACCTTTCCTGGTACTGGTTTATTGCCTCCACGAAGAATTACGGTTCAAACATGCGAAGGAAACTACTATACCAGAAAGTATATATAATGTAAACCTAAGATAGAATTCTTTTGTTCAGTCCTCTATTGTAGACATTAGGAATGATTTACTAAGTTCATAGATGGCAAACTGAATGCCAATGGTTGGTGCCACCTAAAATATAGATATGAACTATCAGTGATAATCAATTGATAAACGCTGCATAATAATTATATTTTTTGTTCTCATGACTTTTGTTGTGGATTTCTGACTTAGGACAAGTTCACACTATGACATAAGCAGAGGCATAAGCCAAAAGARCGAAGTCAAGCTACCGCCGACATAAGCATAGCAATTAGCATAGGACCAAGCATAAGATAATTAAAGGCAAAAGAATAAGCAAGAAAAAGCATATTCCTTTATTTTTTCACGTCATGCTTAAGATGGTYTTCACTAGGACATAAGCATAATCATAATCTGAGAACAAAAGGAAATACAAATGAATGAATTTAAGCGTACGGCATATGACATAAACACAAGCATAATAATAAGCATAAGATAAAGAATAAACTAATTAAAGACAAAAGAACAAACAAAACAGCATCTTTTTAATCTTTGTTAATCCCTTCTAATCTCAAAAGCTATTGTTTTTCACGCCATATGMTTATAGCGTAGTGAMAACCAGGCTTTGCTTTGCAGTGTGACCCGGTCCTTAGTTTGCCGTTGTTTGTCGTTTTTGTTGTTGTTGATTTATTTGTTCATTCGTGGCATAACAGTGTTGTTTTGTTTATTTAATCATTTAGTTTTAGCAATTCTACATTAATTTTATTGCACTGTATAAGTAAAGCATAGATTTTAATAATCATTAATAATGACTAATATTATACCTTGAGTAGGTTGGGCCACATTCCTTTATATAGTCCAACAAACCCTTCTGATCGTACAATGACTTTAAACGCATCCCAAGTAGAATTATAYTTAAACAAGCCTTGTGCAGCCCCTTCCATTTGCATTCGCCTTCTAACTACATCAAGGGGATACGTTCCTAAAAGAAAATAATATAATGTTAGCTAATTCTTGAAAAGCAAAGTGCTTACTACCCTACGTGATTTGGCATGTTTCAAAGACTTCTGACATATGTCAAAAAACCTGCGGACTCTCCTTAAATATCTAGTATATCTTCATCTACATCTACATAGTTCCAGCACTCAGTTGGCAACATTCATTGGCCCTACTACTTCTACATTAGTATGTGGTCTCATTGACTAGTAACCTTTATACGAACACTACGCCAAAACCGACCTCAATGCTGGTGAGATGAGCCCTGGCTACACCACCGGGAACTCCGTGCCCTACTCTTAGTCGAATAGTGGTATGGGTTCTTTAACGTCCCTCTGCTGCTAACGAGAAGTCTAAATAGACGGAACCCACGGCTTTACATCCTTTTTCGAGAAGACGAGGCACTGAGAGAGTAAAGTGTCTTGCCCAAGAACACAACGTGATCACCATGTCTAGGAATCGAACCCAGGCCTGTCGACACGAAGTCCAATGCCCAAACCACTAGACCATCACGTCTCTCTCATATAATACCATATATAATACCATAACAAGAAGTTTGTAGATATACCTGACTGTGCTACAGCGCCAGCAACAGCTCCACAGACAAGTTTAGCTGTAACAGGAAGGTCTTTATCGTGATGTAAAACCCTTAGCTTGTGACCAGCGGCCTCGGCAAGATAGTATGTTAAACAGAACCCTGTTCAAGACATGGTAATAGTCACTATAAGAAAAATTCTGATACCCAAACCATTCTCAGTTTCCCAACGGAAAATCGNTTCCTCTCATCTCCATGTGGGATGTTAATTAACAGCCGTGGGGACGCGCTGCTCCATTTCTTGATGCTCAAATTCTTGATTCTCTCAGACTGGATTTTCTCGATTTTTTGACAGTATTTCTCAAATAAAACTTCTGCAGCGATCTTGGTTACCGTAGGCTGTTTATCTTTGCTTGGTTTAAAGCAGGTATGTAAATTCCCCATTTCAAAAGTTAAAGGTTTTTTCTCATTATCAATCTAAGTCTCGATTCATAAAAACTTTCTTCTACTAATTTGAAACGTCACAATACTATGCTGTGGCGTCATTAATTTCGCGCGCTCTAATCTACGTGCTAATCTACGTCATCAACTATATTACGAGCATGCACAAAGGCAAGAATACTACGGACCAAAAATATTGAAAAATACTGTTCACTGCATAGAATGCCCATTAACTATTGCTTGAGAGAAGAAAAGAAAAGCTGCGCATACTTAATATCGTATTGCCGCGCGCGCTTTGTGGATTACCTGTGGCATTACATTACTATCCCGTAATTATCGTAAGATATAAACTTGTGGTTTACAGACCACAAGTCACGGGGTCGTGATATATTACCACAGCAGGTAATCCGCATTGTGCTAAGTGCTCGCACCGATAACATAAAAGCTTGCGCATTCGTTTTCTTTCTCTCAATCAATAGTCGTGCAGGCTATAGTGCATAGTACAAGCCCGTCATTTTGATCTACTATGTTCTCAATACCTGCTAACACTTTTTGTATTTTTCTTGTTTATGAATTTATGATTAATCATTTTTTCGTGGAAATAGTTGCATTTCGGCTTATTTGAAAGAGAAAATCCATGTCCGCACGAATAAGTCACGCAGTCTATTCATACGAAAAAAAGAAAAAGTAATGAAAAACGTAATTCAAAATTTTTTTAATCTAGTTAACCGTGATTCGAAAAAATTAGTCGTGAGTCGTGAAATCGCCAAATTTTTAGCCGTGAGTCGTCATGCGTACCACCCCATTGAGACCCTCTGCATAGTACAAGTCCGCCATTTTGAATCGGTTTGCAATGTATCATGGGAAAAATATATTTCTTCCATTAAAAGAAATTAATCGCTTATCGTTAAAACACTAATTAGTTTCGATTTTTCCACAGACTAAATATGTTTGTTTTCATTTTTGCTTGATTTGCCTAGTAAATGGAAATTCTCGATAAAATTAAGTGTACAATTTTGGGAGGTTTTTCTTGCTGTATTTCCTATTGCTTGTTGATATTTGTTTGATATTGTGGGGAATGCTTTCCCCACCATCTATACATTCTTTTATAAGATTTTACATTTTTAAACAGCTTCAAGTTCTTAGAAGATAGTCATCTGAACTAAACACAACTTGGGATATTATCGATTTTGATGTGCTCTTCAAGACGATATAGGTATCTTGGTGATAATTGTAATTTTAAAACTCGACCCCAGCCTCCTAATCGGACATGAAAGCTGGTATAACAATAGACTTCTGAACCTTTTAATAAATGCATTGTGGGATCAGTTTCAAGAGAAAACAAAAGAAATCCTCCATGTTTTGTCCCAAACATGTCCTACAATGCATTGCATATACGGTACATGACGTAAAAGCTGCAGAGGTCTATTGGACTATGATCACCCGTCTTCTGAGTGTGCGCAGTGCGTTTATCCCCAGCTTCGCTTTTATGGTGACATTTTCATGTGCTTATTTTATGCATGCAAAACTTCACATGTAGCGACTTGCAAAAGTTATTAATTCTTTTAATAATAATTTAATATCATTTACATCTAAGTTATGGGCTCAAGATTACACTTTATAGCTAGAAGTTTAACTTTAGCCTAAGATATTATATATTTTCCCGTCTGGAAATTTAGAATAAACAATAAAATGGTAGTTGAGGACATTCTCAATATATATTAGTCAAACCTAGCGGACCAGACCTAAATCAATCTCTCTCATCAATGCTATAAGCCAAAAGAATCAAATACTAATTTGACCCAGTGGGTCTAATGGGAAGTAATGGACTGACACTCCCGACAAATAGTCTTTTAAAATTACTTTGAAATGGACCTGTCTGGCCGGTTAGTTCGGATGGGAAATGTAAAGTACTGCCTTCTGAAACCTTTCCTGGTACTGGTTTATTGCCTCCACGAAGAATTACGGTTCAAACATGCGAAGGAAACTACTATACCAGAAAGTATATATAATGTAAACCTAAGATAGAATTCTTTTGTTCAGTCCTCTATTGTAGACATTAGGAATGATTTACTAAGTTCATAGATGGCAAACTGAATGCCAATGGTTGGTGCCACCTAAAATATAGATATGAACTATCAGTGATAATCAATTGATAAACGCTGCATAATAATTATATTTTTTGTTCTCATGACTTTTGTTGTGGATTTCTGACTTAGGACAAGTTCACACTATGACATAAGCAGAGGCATAAGCCAAAAGARCGAAGTCAAGCTACCGCCGACATAAGCATAGCAATTAGCATAGGACCAAGCATAAGATAATTAAAGGCAAAAGAATAAGCAAGAAAAAGCATATTCCTTTATTTTTTCACGTCATGCTTAAGATGGTYTTCACTAGGACATAAGCATAATCATAATCTGAGAACAAAAGGAAATACAAATGAATGAATTTAAGCGTACGGCATATGACATAAACACAAGCATAATAATAAGCATAAGATAAAGAATAAACTAATTAAAGACAAAAGAACAAACAAAACAGCATCTTTTTAATCTTTGTTAATCCCTTCTAATCTCAAAAGCTATTGTTTTTCACGCCATATGMTTATAGCGTAGTGAMAACCAGGCTTTGCTTTGCAGTGTGACCCGGTCCTTAGTTTGCCGTTGTTTGTCGTTTTTGTTGTTGTTGATTTATTTGTTCATTCGTGGCATAACAGTGTTGTTTTGTTTATTTAATCATTTAGTTTTAGCAATTCTACATTAATTTTATTGCACTGTATAAGTAAAGCATAGATTTTAATAATCATTAATAATGACTAATATTATACCTTGAGTAGGTTGGGCCACATTCCTTTATATAGTCCAACAAACCCTTCTGATCGTACAATGACTTTAAACGCATCCCAAGTAGAATTATAYTTAAACAAGCCTTGTGCAGCCCCTTCCATTTGCATTCGCCTTCTAACTACATCAAGGGGATACGTTCCTAAAAGAAAATAATATAATGTTAGCTAATTCTTGAAAAGCAAAGTGCTTACTACCCTACGTGATTTGGCATGTTTCAAAGACTTCTGACATATGTCAAAAAACCTGCGGACTCTCCTTAAATATCTAGTATATCTTCATCTACATCTACATAGTTCCAGCACTCAGTTGGCAACATTCATTGGCCCTACTACTTCTACATTAGTATGTGGTCTCATTGACTAGTAACCTTTATACGAACACTACGCCAAAACCGACCTCAATGCTGGTGAGATGAGCCCTGGCTACACCACCGGGAACTCCGTGCCCTACTCTTAGTCGAATAGTGGTATGGGTTCTTTAACGTCCCTCTGCTGCTAACGAGAAGTCTAAATAGACGGAACCCACGGCTTTACATCCTTTTTCGAGAAGACGAGGCACTGAGAGAGTAAAGTGTCTTGCCCAAGAACACAACGTGATCACCATGTCTAGGAATCGAACCCAGGCCTGTCGACACGAAGTCCAATGCCCAAACCACTAGACCATCACGTCTCTCTCATATAATACCATATATAATACCATAACAAGAAGTTTGTAGATATACCTGACTGTGCTACAGCGCCAGCAACAGCTCCACAGACAAGTTTAGCTGTAACAGGAAGGTCTTTATCGTGATGTAAAACCCTTAGCTTGTGACCAGCGGCCTCGGCAAGATAGTATGTTAAACAGAACCCTGTTCAAGACATGGTAATAGTCACTATAAGAAAAATTCTGATACCCAAACCATTCTCAGTTTCCCAACGGAAAATCGAAGGCTGTGGTTGGAAACAAATGAGTCTTTAATTTCATTGTCTTAAAAATACCATGCGCCATGCATAATCAGTATATGTTTTTTTTCGTACGACCCAGATTCTAGGACTTCCGGTTAGCCTCTAACCAGAACCTTCAATTTTTCCTTAGAAGCCAGGGTCTGGGTAAGAGAATGTGTAATGAAGATTTAAGTCGAGCTGTTCTGTACGTCTGAACGGATGTTTAAGCACGACCGAAGACGGAGCATGAGGGAACCCACAATATTCTCCTATATGAGGCGGGTTTTACTAAGGGTGTGAATAGCGCAATCTACCCGTTAATCTTTATCCACCCATAATATGATCATCATAATAAGTTACCTTTTAGAGACTCGTACACCATGAAGTTTAACCCAATATAGGGAGCTATACCCTGAGAGAGAAATACAAACAACACGATTAAGAGAACTTAACTTGTGTAGGTGTGAAAGAAGGTTTCTTTTATGTACGCGCTCACTGGTCGACCCGCTTCGATGCAAAGACAGGGCTACCTTTCAAGATGGGATGGGATCGGTAACGGAGATTTTTCCATAGGTYGTTCCCAGTTYGCGCTCTGCATGTTGTTAATGTTCTTCTAGCCAAAYTATTAYGTAATGAATCASTYATTCTTTTTGTACTTACAATAAGTGTTGGTCCTATTCCTTTGAAGAGACAATTGCTAAAGAGACCGCCTTCTTCTTTCAAGATGGTGACAAATGCATGACGGATGTTTCTGGTTGAAAATAACMACACTTAGYCATAGAGTGCYCTTAGAACATTGTACCAATTCAACACTTATAATCTCGAGTGCATCTGTTTTTTTATTGATTAAAGTGGCACTGTTTTCAANCGTGATCGTCACGTCTGGGAATCGAACGCAGGCATGTCGACACGAAGTCCAATGCCCAAACCACTGGACCATCACTTCTCTCTAATATAATACCATATACATTATAACAAGAAGTTTGTTGATATACCTGACTGTGCTACAGCTCCAGCAACAGCTCCACAGACAAGTTTAGCTGTAACAGGAAGGTCTTTATCGTGATGTAAAACCCTTAGCTTGTGACCAGCGGCCTCGGCAAGATAGTATGTTAAACAGAACCCTGTTCAAAACATGGTAATAGTCACTATAAGAAAAATTGTGATACCCAAACCATTCTCAGTTTCCCAACGGAAAATCGAAGGCTGTGGTTGGAAACAAATGAGTCTTTAATTTCATTGTCTTAAAAATACCATGCGCCATGCATAATCAGTATATGTTTTTTTTCGTACGACCCAGATTCTAGGACTTCCGGTTAGCCTCTAACCAGAACCTTCAATTTTTCCTTAGAAGCCAGGGTCTGGGTAAGAGAATGTGTAATGAAGATTTAAGTCGAGCTGTTCTGTACGTCTGAACGGATGTTTAAGCACGACCGAAGACGGAGCATGAGGGAACCCACAATATTCTCCTATATGAGGCGGGTTTTACTAAGGGTGTGAATAGCGCAATCTACCCGTTAATCTTTATCCACCATAGAGCGGATTTCGTATGAGTGGGACACCGTTACCGCACGGTTACCGCACAGCTACCGCACCTGGCCTTCACAATTTTGGTGAACCAATGGGGCACTAGAATTTGGTTACAGTACGATTACGGTCACAGTACAGTACCGTCCGTTTCCCACTCATACGAAATCCGCTCTATAATATGATCTTCATAATAAGTTACCTTTTAGAGACTCGTACACCATGAAGTTTAACCCAATATAGGGAGCTATACCCTGAGAGAGAAATACAAACAACACGATTAAGAGAACTTAACTTGTGTAGGTGTGAAAGAAGGTTTCTTTTATGTACGCGCTCACTGGTCGACCCGCTTCGATGCAAAGACAGGGCTACCTTTCAAGATGGGATGGGATCGGTAACGGAGATTTTTCCATAGGTYGTTCCCAGTTYGCGCTCTGCATGTTGTTAATGTTCTTCTAGCCAAAYTATTAYGTAATGAATCASTYATTCTTTTTGTACTTACAATAAGTGTTGGTCCTATTCCTTTGAAGAGACAATTGCTAAAGAGACCGCCTTCTTCTTTCAAGATGGTGACAAATGCATGACGGATGTTTCTGGTTGAAAATAACMACACTTAGYCATAGAGTGCYCTTAGAACATTGTACCAATTCAACACTTATAATCTCGAGTGCATCTGTTTTTTTATTGATTAAAGTGGCACTGTTTTCAACAAAGCTCCGCATTTTGAGAAACGTAAACAATTCCTGTACCTGTATTTACGCTCTGCACCTTCACCTTGACATGCAAGCCTGGTTCTATAATCGTAAAAAAGCATACACTGTCATTATGCTACACTTGAGCGCATATATGGGAATACCCCGCCCCTGTCGCAAAAGGTCGCCAAGAAGAGGCTGTCGTTCGCCGGACATTGCCATTGGGTCACCGAAGAAGTAATACAGCCTTTACTGCTGTGGAAACCTCGTGACCTTGTCCGTTACAGAGGCWGCACTTACCCAGATACCATCGCTAGGGATGCGGGAATGGATAAAGAGGACCTCTATGTAGCCATGGCAGACCGAGAAGTGTGGCGACGTGTTGTTGAGTGCGCCCCGGCCCTTTAGGGGTCRCCAGATGAGATGATGAAAGGACAGCCAATTCAGGCACCTCAATTCAGAGAGCTCCATGACCGAAACTTATTAAGTATTCAAACTATAAGGCTAACTCCYGATACAACTGTTTTCCGGCATGCAAGCTCGCGACTACTAAAGAAATAGCATGCAGGAGATATTTTCAAATTGAAAGAAAGAAATGCCCACAAGGAAAAAGTAAYGCCTGCCGACTTCCCTAATTCCAGGATACGGATTCCGGATTCCGGATTCCAAATCTTATTATTTTTTTTTTTTTTACTGGATTCCGGATTCTCTTACATGGAGAGAAATGGCCACAAGTAAAAAGTAGCGCCTGTGGGCTTCTCTGAACAGCTCTTTATACACGCTTTTAATAAGTCTCACGGTATCGTGTTCTCCGCACTTGACGTCAAATTGATTCTTTTGAATTCCTTTTGTATTGCAAAAATTTCAAAAGAATAAATTTGACGTCAAGTGCAGAGAACACAATACCTCGGGACTTATTAAAAGGGTGTATAGCACCGTCTCATCGGTAATAGTAGATTAAAATGACGACCCAGTCACATGCACCCATTTACTTTATTGCGAGTACCTTATTAAGTCAAGTGGATATGTAGCGGTGGCTGACACTATGCCAGCCATTGCACCTGCAACAAGACGCATTATGGGATGYTGCTCTCTTGTGTCTTCAGGAATTTTAAGAAGCTACGAAAAATACAAAAATAAACTCATTATACATGATATAAAGAACCGACAAAGAAAATTATAATATGGTTATTCACAGTGCCTGAAGATTGCTTTAGGCAAATGGAAGCACCTAACAAGCGAATAGCGGCCCCTAAGGAATCCCAATTTACCAATGCAAAATACTTTAAATGTCACAAACAATTCGTTGTTTTACAGCATAATCATTCGTGGTCAAGTTAGTTAAATCGCTTTACACTTGTAGCTCCTAGTCAAATGGTTAGGTTAAGGAAAGGACGGGTCAGGCTATAAAATGTTAAATTCATAATTGTAAGTTAAAAATGAGAAGATCATTTTTAATAAGTGCTAAAAAGTTCGAATAAGTCCCTAAAAAAACAGAGAAAAATATATGAGTGAAAAAAGGATGGACCCCTGTTCGCTCGTTAGGTTGCTTCTATTCGCTTGTTAGGGGCAGATATACGCTTGTGCCATATATGGATACGTACTACAAACCCGCCTCGGCTGTGACCGAGGATATTACTGCTATAAGGACTACAATCAATAAATATAATTGTAAGAATGAAAACCTTTTTGAATTCCTCGTAGGCTGCAAACTGTACAGCAGTGTACGGAACAATACGAACAATATTGGTACCATTACCCTGCAAAAAAAAGGAATGACATAAAATCTGTTTTGATAAATTTTGGGCTTCCTGTGGTTTTTGGTTCATGGCAAAGGAAGCCCGAAGAACTGGATTTGAACCAAGGTGACCCTTGTCACGACATTCCGTTTTCCTTCTTTCTGAACTCGACTTTACCCATAGAAAGAGATATAAAACAATCTCATTCAAAATAAACGGAAAACACTACCAACTTTCCCCACTGCAAGGTTACACACACGCTTCTTTCCTCATCCTTGGCGATTTTGTAGCAATTCATTGACGAAAAAGATTGGAAAAGGGAAGGGGAGGTTGTAGTAACACAATAATAGACGGCGTTTCACACAGTTTTTGCAAAAGATTCAGGATCTTAGCCAGAATGATTCCTGATCTGACGCTGGAAAACCCTGAAGGATCCCAATCTAATCAAAGTAATGATATAATAATAACACAATTGCATTTTAATGAAAACGCTCAATTCGATTGTCGATCATGTTGTACATATGAACATCTGTTCAAAATATCCATCAAATGGGATGAAAATTACAAGATTATTGGTTCTCGAATAACTCATCAAATTGTATAAAAGACAACAACAAACCTTGAAATAACCGATGAGTCCTTCGTTCTTGTAGATTGTGGCAAGGGTTCCTCCAACACCAGAGTATTTAGATTGACTTGAAACTTGAATCTAAAAAAACCCAACTGCATGAGCTTTTCGCAGAATGTTTTTATTGTGCAGCCGGCATTTGATTTTAAACCATTAGTATAGTTTTATTTAGAAAGCCATGTAAATGCTAGAAAACCATTTGAGTGCTAAAAAATATTCGATCGAACAGAATAGCCATAGATTAAAAGGCTTCGTGCTTATTATAGCTAATAGTTACTTTTATTCCATTTTTTAGTTCATAATTTTAGGTATTAAGCATTGATCAAACGCTCTACAAGAAAAAGAAATCCATTGGAGTRCAGGGAAGCCATTCAAATGCACGACTCTAATTGATATTTACTTATAAATGTGTTGAAATTGCACGGTAAACACACGTGAAATGCATCAATACTCACTTGCAATAACATTTTCACACGTTCTAAAGGAGAAACACAAGTCCTTGACACCCCACCAGCTATTCCTCCTGCAATCAGATGAACGAGCTGATCCTTCGGGAYGTAGTCTTCGTACCATTTATGTGTCTTCGTGGCAGACATTTTGTTTTCGAGTAGAATAGCTAAACAACTTTTTCACRCTCAAATTTTCACTTGTTACATCACAGACGACTGCAAAATCACGATCAATGACAACTGAAGCCAGAAATTTCAATATTTTACAGAAAAAGAGTTAGGTTTATAAAGAAATAGACTAAAAATACCGCTAAGTCTAAAAATTTGTTCGCTTTGTCATTCTGACACTACTATGCTATTGGTGAATATCACTTCCGGTCTTCTAGCGGAAGTAGGGATTTAATTTTCCCGATCGAGTGAGTCGTGCTGTCGATCACGTCACGTGTATAAACACCTATAAATTGCCACTTGGAATCTTTATAAGGGAATCAACTATACAATTAAAATTATTCCTATTGCCCAAGAAAAAGATGCAAAATTATTATTATTTTTTGTCACTAGAATAACAAGTAGCTCTTGATCAGCGCACAACAATCTAGTGTGTTTATGCAGTCAATGCATTCCACTCAAATTATAGTATGAAAAGAAAGATTTGCTGACGAACGCTTAGAACGCTTACTCGGGCTATATAAAACCCGTGGGATTAAAAAATTGTAAATCGGAAGTCCCTATCAAAAATGACGTATTTATGTTGTGCAATGAATTCCTCCCGGGGTTTGAACGTAGTAAATGCAGACATATTTGCACCATTACGCTTAGCCGTCTTCGTTAACTGCAGTACTTCATAACATCAAAAATCAAATCAACAAATATTAATTATCATTATTACAATTTTGTGGAATTACAATTCTATATTCAATATTCAATGATTAAGAAAAGTAGTCGTAAAAAAACATATAAATGCTTTTTTAGACTCCTTCTAAAAATAACAGCATTAATTAGACCCAAAAATTAGTAAGAAAAAGAGCAAAAAGGAAGAGAGACGACTTCAGAGAAGGCTATAAGTGATACTTTCAGTGCTGTGCACTCAACAACACTTCCCTGTATATAATTGAGCAAATAAAATGTTTTAAAACACATCAAAACTTTTAAGCAATGAGCTGTAATGAAATGTTTGCTATATTTATCGGCATGCTTATTATTATGAGAGATTAAAAATGCAATTCTTATCAGTTTTGCTGTGAGAACTCAAATCAAGAAATAATAATATTCGATATCAAGAGTGATTATTCTCTAGGAAGAACGAGTACATGTGTTCGTAGTAGCTTTATGGAAGTATACTGTCTAAAAACAGAGGGCTATATATTCAGCATTGTAAGTTCTACTCTCATAAGTAAGTAATATGAGAAAATAATGCCATACAACTGGATTGAATCACAATAGCGAAGAGTTTTTTTGCTTCATGCGGCATTGTGCTTATAATTTTGACTTCATTGCTTTATCTTTTACTCTATTATCTTGATTGTTTTTTTCTCATCTGTATGCGCGCCTATTACTTATGGCGTATTATAAAACTTATTAATAATGCATGAGCTATTACTCCAATAAGGGTTGTCCATTTCATCAGGTGATTGAMMTTGTAAATCAGATACAACACTGTGATACAACACTAGTGTTGTATAAGATTTACAACACGGTCGTCACCTTGAGACAACCCAACACTAGCAAAGGTCTCAGTTTTAGTGTCGCATCATAGACCTTCACTAGGTTTTGAAGCAATCAAAGACGGATAACAGAACTGGCTTATGCAACAGATGGCTTGCTTTCCATGTGGGATGGATAATTATTCAAAATGTTCTGTGTTGCAGTAAATTGCGCATGCTTAATAGAGACTAAACTCAGCAGTTACCTTATTTGTCATTTTTCGTTATTTATCTCACTGTAATTCATTCGAGCCTGCGGCTCGAGATTGTAATTCCCATACAACACGGCCGCTCATGTTGTAAACTATACGTGAAAGGCATAGTTTTGCCGGATTAGCTCACTAGTGGCAATTAATTTATTTAAAGATAGAGATAAAGATAATGAATTATACGCTGCGCTAATTTTCGCCTCGGTTGACTTCGATTACATGTAAGGTAAATTACGTGCATGTAGAATGCGGAGAAATATACTGAGCTGAAGCGGAAAATATAGCAGCGCACTTTACGTATCTTGCGGGTAAGTAAAGGACGCTATAAATATTTGCTATAATCCTATATATTTGGTACATTATGTCGTGTAATTTTTAAAACGATTTTTATGCTTTCTCATTATCAAATATTGTAACAGAAGAAATTTCTTATAGACTAGCTGGTTTCACTTGCATTTCAGCAAGCTCCGTAGTAGAAGTTCTCATAACTTCACTGAGGCAGATGCAAATTGTTCATATGCTCGGGAAAAACTCCTTCAGAAGACGAAAAACCTCGGCCAACGCTACCTCAAGAATTTTGTGATAATTACGGTTTCAAGAATGAAAGCGAATTCTGGAACATATTCAAGCACATTGGAGATGGCGTCTTCCAAATAAGAGATAAACAGCTGTTCTATTTCCAACATGCAATCAAGACAACTGGCGATAGAGCAAGGAATGTTTTTCAAGTTGATGGCTCCGGAAAACCAGCTGGTGTTTTATGGAAGTCTCTAACTGACTTCAGTATCAGGCAGTCAAGCTGTTCTGCCGCGAACTGCATAAATGAAAAGTGTAAACCAGGAAGCCCTGAGCCAGCAGGAGCCACAGCACATGTTTACAATGTACACCAAGGTGATGATAATAAGTACATACCCTACTGTATATTCATCCCAACTTGCAGCTATTGCAATAACCATTACCAAACTATGGCTCATGATGTCAACTGGCGTGGGAAAAAGGAATTGCAGGCTTACTGCGGCAGTAAAGTGATATTTGTTGAGATAAACGAGGCGACAACATCTGGCAAGGGAGGAGGAAAAGGTAATTAAAAAAAACTGTCTAGCTTTTTATGAACCAAGGATAATAGGAAGAGTGAAGAGGACAGTAAGTAAGCACATGTAATATAAATGCACATCCTAATTTTATAAAACTAATTACTATTCGATCATAAGGCAAAACAAAATTTGTAAATCCACTTATACCTTCTGTACTGCGTATATCGCGCAACTCATCTTACTTCGTGTCAAGACCGCATACAAGCACTGTTTTTATATTAGAAAGTAAACGTCCTACAGTAATCAATACTTGAGTGGCAGACACCATAAGCTCAAAGATCACTTCATGAATGAAAAAATAAAATAAATAGGTAAATAAACAAATCGTGTCCTTGTCGTAGCTGACCGCACAAAATTCTATCACTGTTGCGTGTTTCCTGTTTTCATACTATTTTAAGACAAAAGAGCAAGAATTTTCAGACAAATATCAGTTCTTAATAGACTATAGTTGCGTCCTTTTCAATCTTTTGTTCTTTTGCCGAGCTATTTGAAGCGCAAGCCATTGCTACAGGGCATGCAAAAATATGAACTTAGTCGCATTGCTCTTTCAGTCAGCACACCATTGTCAAAAATAACTGATCTATTCTTGCGCTCCCTTGTCTTTATGTTTTTTTAAAAAACTCATACATAATTAATGAGCTTCTAGGCCAATAGAATGAGCCTATTTGGTCACATGCATGGACCTTTATATCTGATAAAACACTCCTTATTAGTATTCTTTATATAAAGAATACTAATAAGGTTGACCTTTATCAGATATAAAGGTCCATGACCCTAGCAAAGGACTCAGGTTTGAAACTTGATCATTGACCAATGCAGGATGTCAACCAATTTCAGCGAACAGCCAAGAGCGGTTCTATTTTACTTTATGCGTATTCAATGTGCGATGACAAGAGTGCTTTGTAAAGTGATTCGCGCATGATCAGTTTACCCCATTTATCTCTGAACATATTTGTACGGCAATTTCTCCAAGAATTTTAACGGATTTGAGTTTCAAATTAGTGTTGTAGTTTTTAAGCCGTTTAAAACACTCGAGATCGTGTTTTATCAGGTATAAAGATTCTCGCCTTCGGCTTCTAGTAGTAGAATTATTTCAGGAATGTGTATTTGTGAAATGGTCCAGTCTTCATCTGTGTGTGTGTGAGGAGAGGGGATGGGGGGGGGGGGGGGGGGATAAGAGACGAGGGGGTTAGGGTTTATTGGTGGGTTGGTGGTGGTGAGTGGGGGTTGTTAGGGTGGGCAAACAACAAACAAGATAAACGATTTACAAAATAAATGCATGTATATTTTATTGCACATTTTTCCAAAAATATATATTACATATAACAGTTGTTCTGATACATTACATTACTTTGAAGTGAGACATTTTTATAGTGCATTCAACGGTCATGCAGTCGTGCACAATGCTCCTTGCAAGAAGTGCAATCGGCCATTGGTATCATGTGACGTACAGAGTGTTTTAACTAAATCAGTGAAACCCCTCAAAATAAGATTGATTTTAGTAAAAGCGGTGAAGCATTCTTTTGTTTTCTTTTGTTACACTAGCACTATTCCGAATTTTCAATTCGAAATTTGTTTCACGCTTTTACTGAAAGCACTCTAGAACAAAATTCCACTAATTCTCCAAAGGGATCGGTACATTCTTTGAATGACGACTCGCTTTTTATGAACACCATTTGCGTAAAACCTACATAAAATCATCTCAGTCGTGCGAGTTTCCCAAAGAGTTCTTGAATTGTTCTAGCTCCCTCAAGCATAACTACAAAAAATCACGCACTTTAAAGGTTGTAAATAATATGATGTTGTGTCCAAAATGATGTAAATTTGATTAAATTTTTAMATCATTTTGGGCCCTTATATGATATTTAATCAAATTTACAACTTTTAAAGTGCGCGATTATTTTTTCAGCGAGTTTTYC